ATCAATTTTCGGCAATTTTTAGCAATTAATATCTTGTTAACTATTGCAAAAATTGCAAAATTGAAGAGGACTTTTCTTCTCAGTTTAATCCATTTTGCCCCTGTGCAAAAGATTTTTCATTAATTATCAAATACCCTGTATAATGCTCATTTCCTTGTGTAAATAACAATATAAATAACAATATATAACAATATAAATAACAATATAAATAAATTAAATAAAAATATATAAATAACAATATATATAAGTTCTTGATTTGAACCAGTAACGTCGAGATTATTAGTCAAGCACGCTACCACACCGCGCTACCATAAATTCTTCAACTAAACTGTCTACTAAACTTGCTTTTTGAGGTAAATATTGTATAAATACTAAAATTGATTATGTAATAATATGATTAATTTAATATGATTAATATGATTAATATGATTTATATGATTTATATGATTTTATTTATTTAATATGATTTTGTCTTATGCGACTTTCACGGTAGGGTACTTTTCTGTTCAAGAGAAAATTCGCGAGTTATATAAAAATATTTTTTGACAATATATTGCATATGAGTGACAATTATAAATACAGACTTGTTGAATTTCAAAACACAAAAAATAATATTAAAACCGTTGATATAGTCCCCGAGGAATGAATTGTATGGGATAAAAAAAAGAAAGAATTATTGTGTTATTTTATGCCACCACCTTACAATCGTAAAAAAATAAAAGAATTACAAAACATAATTAAAAGTCACCAGCAACCAGATTATTCATGGCCAAAATACAATATACAATCATGTGGAAAAGCAAGTAAGTCACGTCATCAAATACGTCTTAAAATATTAAACGTGTTGCTGCTGATTCTAATTACCTAGTCCTATTTTAATATATGCTATTAACAATTTATTGATGCAGAAGAAAAATTAAAAAGATTAAATGTCCAGAAATATGCATTCACAACGGATAGCGAGCTGGATGCTGAGACCAAATCAAAAAATGATCTAGAGGGATTCAAAATGAGAGAATGAAAATAAAAAAGAATTATTCTCTCAAGAAATTTTGGACTCTGCAAAAATTAATTTTAAAAAAATTTATCGTGATGGATCCTTTCGTACGTAATGACCACAGATATATATA